TCCATGAATAAACCCAGTTTGATCAACTTCAATAATCAAAGGCAATATTTTTTTCTAATCTCAAAGCTAACACATTAAACAGTAATTTAAAATCCTTATTGAGAAGGCTGATATGAAGAGCATTCTTCATCTGGTTTTCTCTTTTCAAGTATGAGGCTAAAATTAGCTCTCAAAGAGATCTAGGCAAAGATTTAGTTTCAAAAGATAAGTTTAACAGTAATTCCATTACCACCAGAGTAGCTTGAATTCTTTCCAGTATCTTGTTTTTCTAGTTAATTTTTAACAAAAAAACTATCAATTACTACACATAATTAGCATATAATTTTTATTAGTGCTGAACAAAATATTGGTTGAACATCGATATCGCAATGTGAGTATTCGCAATAGTCACGACGCAGGATTTGATTATTTATTAAAGAATAAAGGTGTTCTTAAATATTATTATATAAATTATTTATACATGGATAATCATGTTATTTTGTGTTTAATTGTTCAGTTTTTAAATTAATGTACTGTTAGACTCCCAAGAAACCTTTCATTTTTGCTCTCACTTTTTTATATGCTTGTAATTTATTGTTTTTTTGCAGATGCACTGCATAGAAAAAGACTTGATCACCCCAGTCGATTTAACTAATGAAATCTTTCTTAATAGGGCTGTTCAAATCATCTGATGAAAAAATAGAAATATATCACAATGTATATCACAGCAAAACAAAATATCGCAATGTCAGATTTTTCCAATATTGTGCAGCCCTTATTTGTATAATGGGTCATGATGTAATTCAATGTATTTTACTCCTAACACATTCTTGCTGTCATTGTGCAAATGTTGAAGCATTTTGGTTCATTGTTTCATGGAGGATGCTGTTTCTGGCATGCATGGCTTGAATGCTTATGAGATGTCATTTAAAAAAATATCTTTATGTTTTGGATTAGTTGTTATGGGAGTGGCACTGTAATTACTTCAGGGATGTCTGTTTGCCGTTTTCTGGCTCCACCTGCTTTGGAGCTTCTTATTAAAGCATTTCTCAGTTTTACACAGAGTTTTTTTAACCTATTCAAAAGACATGTTGTGTGTCTTGATGTTGCATTTTAATAATTGTGTTTTTTAATTTTCATTCAAATTTATATGACTTCAGTCTAGGGCTGCACCATATATCGTTTCAGCATCCATATTGCTGTGTGTAAATCTGCATTATTCACATTACAGGATTTACAATGTCAAGTTGAAATTTTAATAGCCAGTAGGGCTGGACGATTTGGCCTGAAATCTAAATCTCGAATGATTGAACATTTTAACTCATCTACCACTAATGAACAAATATTTTATTTATTTGTTTTGTCCTTATAGTTTACTGACAAGTTTTGTACAGTTAATAATATGTTCACATATTACAAGTGAGAGCTTTTTAAATGAGGGGTCCATTACTTGATTTTAAAATAATTGGAGGAAACACACACTATCTACTATCTATGATTATGTATTGAACATAAACGTTGAACAACTGAAATTAAAACTCACATGGCCTAAAAAGAGCAGTCAAAAAAGTACAAGTAAAAGTAACTGAAAAAATGACCTGGAAATTTGTTTGATTATAGGTTCTGAATGTTGTACTTTTCAATTAATCGCCCAGCCCTAATAACCAGCCACCACAGTTCAGAACAGTGGCGTTGCGAGGGGGGGGGGCTTTGGGGGCTTAAGCCCCTGATGTACTGTCAAAAGCCCCTGATCTCTTGGGATATGTTGCACTTAAATAAAATATGTTGCATAAAATTTATTTAGTTATCTAAGTACTGAAAATTACCACATACATCACGAACATTCCACTTAACGCAGCGTTGTGTCGGGTAATTAAATCGTCAGCTGTTCAGCAGTACCTGTTTCTACCGGCAGGTGGGAGTGGCTCTGTTGTCACATGGTGTTAAAAAAAATCCCGCCACTGCACTTCATTCATTCATTATTTTGAGGAGCAGAAGCTAATGAGGTAATTATACAACTGTTTCGCGAAACTGAATAGTTTTAACTAATGATGAAGCTTGTTTCCACAGTATAAAATGTGTGTAGTTTTGGTGAAATAAATAAACTATAATCAGTAAAATGTGCATCATATCAATGTAAATACATGCGAGTTAGTCAAAAAAACGTAAAATGTAACGTTACTAGCTTTCTAGATATGATAAAGCTATCTAGGCATATTTATATGATATAGCAAGTCACATCTGTTTCTGTAATAGTTAAATCACAGTGAGTTCATGCATCTAGCTGATTATTATATAACTATATTCTACTGTAACATGCCATGTCAGTTAGCATCGAATTATAAATCGACTTTCTTATAAAAATACCTAAAATGGTTGGAAGAACACATACAGTTGAAGTCTGAATTATTAGCCCCCCATTTATTTTTTATATTTTTTATTTTTATTATTTATTTTCCCCAAATTCTGTTTAACAGAGAGAAAATTGTTTTCAGCACATTTCTAATCATAATCGTTTTAATAACTCAACTCTAATAACTGATTTATTTTTCTTTGTCATGATGACAGTAAATAATATTTGACTAGACTTTTTTTGACACTTCTATACAGCTTAAAGTGACATTTAAAAGCTTTAAAGGCAGGTTAAGGTAATTAGGCAAGTTATTGTATAATGATGGTTTGTTCTGTAGACTGTAGGAAAATATATATCTTAAAGGGGCTAATATTTTTGACCCTAAAATGTTTTTTTTATGTAAAACTGCTTTTATTCTAGATGAAATAAAACAAATAAGACTTTCTTTAAAAGGAAAATATTATAAGACATAGGCTACTGTGAAAATTTCCTTGCTCTGTTAAACATCATTTGGGAAATATTTAAAAAAGAAAATAAAATTCAAAGGGGGTAATAATTTTGACTTCAACTGTATAAAACATTTATTGTCCCAGTCGTGTAATGATTAGTTAAAGCCTTTTTATGTATATTCAGATCTTTTTTTCATTCTACTACAGCAATAGCTGGATGCCTTCACCCATATTAGGGATTTCCTAGAATGTTCTACTAATTTTGTGAGGCACATCTGGAATTTCTGCTCAATGAATGAATGAAACAGGCATTACATGCATTTAAAGTGCTACAATGCCCACATCACCCTATTTTGAGGAAAACTGAAAAAAAATTCGCCCTGAAGAAATTTAAACTAAACATATTTCTAGCATATAGATCTTTATTTTTATACTTTGTAGCCTACTATTTTTGATATAATTGTTATTATATAAAAACAGTAGCCTATTGAATATCAGTATTTTGCAAGGTATTGAATTTAGAAATTCCAGTATCTTGACAACACTACACCTCAGTTAATCACTCTGTCCAAATGAACATGTTTGTAGCTTTGTATCACATTGGATAACAACTCACACTATAACATAAATTATATTTTCATATTTGAAGACATGCAGAAAATTACATTTTCGAAAATCAAACAAAAACTGCAAATCAGGAGATAGGAGGCTCAAAAGGTATGATATGACTAGTAAATGAGAAGTGGATTAATTTATCAATGTTTTTTTCATATTTGGTGTTCAAGTCACAAAAACCCTTATTTATTATTAACCATTTTTAATAATGTTAATAAGATTAGAGTAGACTAGGTATATTAGTGGGGTAAATTAAAACTTCTTTTTTTTTTTTTTTTGAGGGGGGTGTACCTGATGTTTCTTCAGGCCACAGGTGTCCTTAACAGATTTATAATTGTTGCCGGTTAATAGCACCACAAAGCAGCTGCATTACATTGGGTTTACCCCACCCGCTGTTTTTGTGTAACCGGTTTCTGACTCGCCGTGTTCGTGTTTATCACTAGTCTCCTGTGAAAAACGCAACAAGCATGGACTCTTCACTGACTGCTGCACAGATCCGTGAGAAGTTCATCGACTTCTTCCGCCGCCATGAACACCAGTATGTCCACTCGTCAGCCACCATTCCACTGGATGACCCCACGCTGCTCTTCGCCAATGCCGGAATGAACCAAGTAGGGAGATTTGAACAAAGTAAAAAAAAAAAATAAAAAAAAATAATATATATATATATATATATATATATATATATATATATATATGTGTGTGTGTGTGAAAGTTTAGCAAAAAAATGTGAATGTATGTGCCTAATTGGTTGAAGAATATTACCTGTAAATGTTATCATTATTTTGATAATTTAAACTGTAGAACACAAAATAAGTAATTTTAAAGATTGTTGGAAACTGGTAGCTTATTAACTTGTTTTGAACATTTTTCAAAATATCTGCTTTTGCGTTTAACATCATAAAGGAATTCATAAAGGGTTTAGAGCAAGTTAAGGGTGACCTGATTAATAATATTTTTGTGAATTATCTATTTGCTTTTTTGGATATTACTTTCAGTTTTTGAATGTAAAAGGAAGGCAGAGTTTCACCGTAAATTGCAATATCATAGATAAATGTTATTGTTTCCTAGAAGAAGAAATCACTTTTTTTTATTGTCATCTGTCTTTTTTATAGTTTATAGTTATTTATATTATATATAGTTTCATAGTTTGTAATGTAGTCAAACGTTTACAAATACAAGCGCAGCCGTTTAGAGCTCATTTCTGGTTAATGATGTCAGAATTTACTGGTATTTTGGAATGGATGTGTCAATGATCTTTTCCGGAAAAATTCCGTAACGTCCTCGCCTGTGTGAACAGCACAGTAAAGTCGTTCCGTAAATTTTCCAGATATTTACAGTATCACTGTGTGAAAGGGGCTATTGACTGCACTTTGAGCGCCCCCTGCTAGCCTCACTTACACCACTTCCAACAGCAACCTAGTTTTCCCATGTGGTCTCCTATCCAGGTACTGACCAGACTCAGTCCTGCTTAGAATTCAGTGAGTAACCGGTCTTGGGCTGCAGGGTGATATGACTGTGATTAGATTATCTATATGGGTTAAAATGACCAAATTGGTGCGCACCTAATTATAATATAAGTTGTAGAATTGATGTAAATGTGTTTATATTCTCTCTGTATCAGAATGGAGGAGAGCCGTATTCTGCCTGGCAGCATGAAGGATAACTTCTGGGAGATGGGGGACACTGGTCCATGTGGGCCGTGCAGTGAGATCCACTATGATCGCATTGGAGGCAGAGATGCTGCACACCTGGTCAGCATGAATGACCCAAATGTGCTTGAAATCTGGAATTTGGTGTTCATCCAATTCAACAGGTAAACTTAAAGCTCTTTGCTACTGTACAGCTAGCAAAGGTAAAAAGCAATCACATACAAATAGATAATAGCTTTACTGCCTCTTAAATAATGTATTATTCATAGGGATGCACAGAAAACTAAGAGATATTATGTTGGTTATTGTCTTGTATAAAAGATATTTTTATTCATCCATAGAAATGCACAGAATACCACTACCGTGTGGATTATTGGCATTGGCTTTTATCCCTTTACCTGCCCCACCAAGAAAAACATTTCTGAATTACATTTCTTAACTTCATATGTCACTAGTTAACACACTCAATGCATTTTTTTTCAGCACAACCAATAGTTTTTAAAATAGCAACCTCTACCAAATGGTTGATAAATCAGTTTATGATAAAAGTACTGGAATTAATAAATATATTATGAAAATCTGAAAAATAAGAATTTATTTTAAATAATGATCAAAATAAATCATTTTTGAATAGTATGCCATAAAGTATTTCCGATTCTCATTTAAAACTTTTTTTTTTATACAATAAAACCAAAATCAAATGTGGTAGTACAACAGGACTATGTTTGTTTTTCTTTTTTTTTGTAAACCAACAATGCTGTGTAGTGTAAACCGTTATTTAAAACAGTCATTCTTTAAATGAATTGAACATTGTCTTTATTTAAATCTAAATCTAAAGAAAATGACCATTGACATCAGCCAGGAATAAATACAATTAATTTTAGTATAAATAAAATCATATGAAAGAAATAATGCTCTGTTGAACTTTCCCTTCATCAAATATCTTTTTTTAACATCAAGTTTACAATATTATTTGGCAGCAACTAACAGTTTTTTTTTATAATCATTTTAATAAATATAGTTGGTTATGGACCAGATCAGCATATTACAGTGATGCCTGAGAGATAATATGACACTGGAATCTTGATTAATGGTTGTTGAAAAGTATGAATAAGTATCCTTTTAAAATGTTTTTACTAATTTGTATTTTAAATATTAAACGTTCATTTTGGATCATACTTATTAAGCAGAATAATATTAGTGCATAGTAATTTTTTACACAAAGATACTTTAAGTACACTGTTAACCCTTACTGTAGATTATGCAGTAAATAACTGTAAAATAGCCAGTGTTTTGCTGTAATAAAAGGAAACAGTATTTTACTGTAAAAGGAGCAGGATTTGTATGAAATTTTGTAGTGCAAAGAATAAATTACAGTAATTTACTTTAGGTATCCATTACAGATAGTTACTGTGATAATAAATGGTAAATTACTGCTCAACCATTATTACCTCATGTACTCTGATGCTTTATGTTGCTATATATATATATATATATATATATATATATATATATATATATATATATTTTTTTTTTTTTTTTTTTTTTTTTTTTTTTTTTTTCAGTTTTGGTATATGTATGGTCAGTATTGAGGAGAAAGTGAGACAATGCATTGATGATAAGCTAAATTTCTCTGCAGACATCTTTGTGTTTTCTTTGTTTCCTTTTATGTTTTTAACATTGAGTATCAGGAGTCAACCAATGTCAATGTCACAGAGCTAATTAAAAGGTAAAGATATCAACGAGATGCATTTAAAGGCAAAAATATTCACACAGAGCAACCAAATTATCACAACCATTTTTATAACTTTGTTTACTTTTCTATAATTAATCTAATTTGCCTAGTTTAGCCTATAGTTAAGCTTTTAAATTGCACTTTAAGCTGAATATTAGTATTTTGCTAAATAACTAGTAAAAATGTGTTATTTAACAGCACGTACATACATTTTTGCAGAGACTCAATTAATTTGTCTGGAAAACTTCAAATGAAGTAGGTAAAAGTGGCATTAACAGTATAGTATAAAGGCTTTCCTAAATAAATGTATTAATCAGGTTATTTTATTTATTTATTTATTTATTTTTATTACTACAGGTTTGGAACAACCAACATTTATTTATTTTTTGCTTTGGATGAAGTTTTTATATTTTTATTGTTTTTATTCAATGATATGTGCATGATTGTGATAAATGTAGGCAGTTCCTTTGAAAATATGCTATGTACCAGGGATGTCAAACTCCTGAAGGGCCGCAGCCCAGCAGAATTTAGTTCCAGCCCTGCTTCAACACACTACCTTTAGATTTAGTTTGATCAGGTGTGTTTAATTAGTATAACTGCACTGTTACTCTGTAGATTGTGCAGTAAATAACTGTAAAAAACAATGATTTAGGCATCACCACACACTCCCACAGGCTGTCCGTCTTATTCTAAACACAAAGGTGTTAGAAAGAGTTTTCAGAAAATGCCGGCCCTTTAAGGGAGCCAGGTGTTTGATTTGTTTACTGCTGAGTGTGCTCTATGCTATGTCCATCAATTCAGATGTAGAGTCTGTTATGTTTTAGGCTTTAAATAAGAATCTACAATGAGTAAGTAAAATGTGTTCAAATGTTTTTGAGGGTTTCTAAAATAAGGCTGTGTTTTAAGTTATACTGTTGTTATCTTGAACTGTGTACTTAAAAAAAGCTACATTGTTAGCTAGTTAGCCTCTCCTCATATAACTTCTTACATTACTTTTGTTTAAGTACAGTATATGTATTTATTGGATATTGCATACTGCCATAATGTACAGATGCTAACAGTTGAATGTATCTTTCTGGCAACTAAGCCAAAATTAAATTCCATTATCTCAGTAAGGTAACATGTGCACATCATCACAGGGAATCACAAAAACATGATACACATAGCCATCCACACACAAAAGCTCCCCTGTCCGGTCCCAGGTTGTGAGTTTGTTGCAAAAGTATTTTTCAGAGCAGTGTTTCCACCTATGAATTTATATTTGAAACAATAAAAAAGTTTGTTGTCATGAGATAATTATAATAGTAAAAGATTTTATCCTTTGGTTTTTCATTGTTGCCAACTTTATTTTTGTTTTCTACAATTATTTTAAACTTTTTATTGAGATTTGACACAGTTTTTATTTATTTAAAACTTTAAAATTTAAAATATTTATTTTGTATTTTTTTGCTGTTCAGTTTTTTTTTTTTTTGCATGGTCAGCATTGAGGAGAGAGTAACACATTTCACTGCAGCACTTTGTGTGTGTGTGTGTGTGTGTGTGTGTGTGTGTGTGTGTGTGTGTGTGCGCGTGTGCGTGTGTTTATTGGATATGTGATTGTGATCAATGTTGGCAGTTGCTTTAAAAGTATTTCTAATACCAGGGGTTCTTAATCCTGTTCCTGGAGATCTACCTTCCTGCAGATTTCAGTTGCTATCCATATCAAACACACCTAAACCAATTAATTAGGACCTGAACACCACTTGATAATTACAGGCAGGTGTGTTTGATATGGGTAGCAACTGAAATCTGCAGGAACGTAGATCTCCAGGAACAGGATTGAGCACCCCTGCTATATACCATGGGGGTCAAACTCCAAGTTCCTGGAGAACTGCAGGGCAGCATTGTTTAGTACCCACCCTGCTTCAACATTACCTGTAGAATTCTAACAAGCCTTAATTAGTTTGATCAGGTGTGTTTAATTAGAGTTACAGCTTAAAGTCCCGGTCACACTGCACTTTTCTCCCTACAGACTTCCATTCATACGCATGTGAGTACTGCGGACCTGGAATGATAGCTCACGAGACAAATTTCATAATTCGCAGCATTGGAAAGTTCAAGCTTGGAGAACGCTGAATGCGAAATCACATCATGTGATTGCTTGAGACCAATCAAAGATCAAAACATGACCTCTCTGGCTTGCTTTTTCAATCTCTAATTATTTTGTTTAATTCCACTACTCGCTTTGTTTAATTCCACTTCGCAGTGCAGAATATAGCATGCTTAAACATTAGTGTGACCGCAGCCTTACTGTGCAGACCTGTAATATGTAAGACAATATTTATATCTGCTGATTTTTTTAATTTTGTTAAACATTTTCTGTTATTTATTTGTTTGGTGCCAAAACAATAAAATTAATTTGTCTGAAAAAATGTTATGCCTTCTATTTTTAAATAACAGCTAAGAATACTGATTAATTTTAGTAACACTACAATAACTATATATGACATACTATTAATGTGTATGCAGTATAATGCTGTGATTTGTAACACTACAATACAGTAATCAACTCTACACAGTTTCCAGTTAGTTACCACTGCTGCTCTATTACAGTAATTAACTGGCAACACTGTTGCCAGCTACTCACTGTATTGGTTCAGTTACAGTAAATAACTGGCAACACTGTTGCCAGCCACTCACTGTAATGGTTCAGTTACAGTAATTAACTGGCAACACTGTTGCCAGTTACTTACTGTAACCGAACTTTTACAGTGAGTAGCTGGCAACAGTGTTGCCAGTATTCTACTGTAAAAAACCCTGGTAAGGTCTAACAGTGTAGAGGAAAAATCTCTCTTGTTTCTCTCTTTCGTTCTGTCTGCACGAAACTTGTTAGTATTCACACAGTCTCACATGCTCTGCAGACCCACAGAGATGCTACTTTTTGGCATTTCATCCGGCCAGGTTTCTAAATTTCCTAAAATGGATTTGGCTTTTGCTTTCTAAAGCTGTTGTTAATCATATGCGTTTTTGCATTATCTTTTTACTGAAGCCTACTTTCACTTGGCTTTGCAGTTGAGTGCACCTGCACAGTCGCGAGAGTGAGTGAAACATTCAATAATTAATTTTTTAATCCAAACAACTCAGAAAATCTTTACTACGAAGAGGATGAAATGACTTGTCTAAACTGGCTACAAAATAGATGTACATTATTAGTAATGGTTAATCAAGGCATTTGCCTTATTTTAATATAGTTTTCTAATACTTACTTTCTCATGTCCATTTAATAGTTTATTGCTCTTTTCAGGGTGATGCTTTTCCAGAGCTGCTGAAAGATCCTGATATGGTAAAGGATATCATCAATGAGGAAGAGGCACAGTTCCTTAAAACCCTCAGCAGAAGACGCCGCATCCTAGACCGCAAGATCCAGAGTCTTGGAGAAAGCACAACTAT